CCCCCCGAAATGGAAAGGTCCCGCGGCAGCGCATCCCCCTCCCCTCCCGCGCCAAGGGGAGCCCCAGCCCCCTGCTAGGCCACAGGTTGGCGCGCGAGCAGCTTCCCGGGAAAAGCGGGGAGGGGGGCGCTGGGGGGGGGTCCCGCGGACGGGTCGAACCTGCGGCCAGGGTGGTCGCCCCTTCGCGGCATCCTTAGGCACAACGAGCCGGGCGCTTTCCAGTGCGAACAGGGCTCCTGGGCAAAGCAAGGTGTGCTGCTTATATACCGCTTATATACCCACTCTGTGGGCAGTTTACCATTCCAGGGTGCTGGCTCCATATTGTGTGTTCACACAGCTCAGCGAGCGGGGCCCTCAGTCGACCAGCCTCCGAAGGATGGAAGGCTGAGCGAACCTCCCGCCGGCGCCCTGAGCCCCGTCCGGGTCACCCCGAAGTGGGTGAGCGGAGTCTTGACTGCAGTTCTGTGCCAGCTGCACTTTAACCCCGGTGCCAACTGCAAGGCTCCTTGTCATCTTATGGCCTGAGACCTGCAGAGCTGGAAGGGCCCCTATATGGACCACCAAGTCCAGCCCTTGCCGAGGAGGCACCCCGGGGGGAATCGAACTCCCAACCACATGAAGAAGCCGCTGAGCCTTCCAGCAGCTCAGGCGAAGATGGTGTACAACCCGGGCATGAGAGAAGAAGCCTACAGGCCAAAACAGCTGGAACGTTTTGTCCCTTTCTCCCAGCTGAAGAGGCACACGCCCTACGGCCTTGCCTGCAGCCTGCATTCCAGGACCACATCTGGGCATCACATCTGGCCCAGCTTTTGGGGCCATTTCCCTTCTCTCTTGCCACCCAGGTTTTATATGCTCTTTGCCTCCTGAGGAATTCTGCCTGAACTAAAAATGCTCACTGGTTTGTGCCAGGTTGGGGGCTCTGGTAAAGATCCTACCCTAGACGCACCTTTGGGGAGAGGAAGACGCCTCCTGAGGAGGAATCCCACAGCAACGCGAGATTCGGAAGGAAAGGCTGGCTCAGGGTTCTGGGAGTAGTTGCCTAAAACAGGCCAATTTTTCCAAGCTGCCTGGGTGTGGAGGTCATCAAGACCCTGGACACCTCTGGGCACATTTACTCACCCATGCAGCCTCTGGGCATAAATGGGAATCGACACCTATTTTTGCTTTTCATTAGAGTTCTTTGCATTTATGTTTTGCTAAGTTCCTGGAAAAGGCTGTGCATTTTTTCCAAAATGAATTCAAATGTGATCGGGGTGCCAGATTGAACATTTTGGAACAATCTGAGAACATAATCGTGCTTGTTTTCTTCCTTTCTTTGAGAAATCCTTTTGCATCACAAGCCTTTGAGATTTTAGGGGAATAGTGGGGCGTAAAAAGCCCAGCTACATCCGTGCCCCGTCCTCGGCCCTGCCCAAGTGTTTTCACAGTCTGGTTTCGAAGGAATCAGACCTTCCTACAATGTTGGGTTGTTTCCAGTCCAGTTAACTCTGACCGTGTCCAAACACTCCTGTCCTTAAAAGATCAGATTTAATTGCATTTGCTTCACCTGCCACGTCATACGGCTTTACGAGAACACTTCCACTCTTTAAAAAGTCCGTAGAAATCAGGATCTTACCCTCTTGGTGAGTGGCTGATGGACCAAGAAAGGTGGGGGGAGGCACTCGCTCAGAAATCATGGGTGTGTCTTGAGTTGCCCTTTCTTTGGTCACTGGACACTCTGTGTGTGAAAGGGTGTGTTAACCATAACAGGCTTAATGAAAGGTTTGGTTCCCGACCCTCCCTGTGCATGTTTTTCCCGTACGTGGCATTAGCAAAGGTGGCATTTTTAATTGATAACTGGAGAAGAAGCATGGAAAATATAAACAAGGAGAACAATTAGCTCTGTAATATAACAAAGGCATCCTCTGAAAACAGTAGGATTGGCAAAAGCTGTGCTTTTTTTCGCCCAAGAAATATTAATCCACGAAAAAGAGAGAATTCTTAATCCATGACTCTCAATCTCCATGGACGCTTGGGTGGCTATCAGTGGTGCAGGTTGGGCTCGGATGAGGACCAGGGCACAAGCGGTCTGCAGGGAAGTTTCCTGGTCCAGCCTCAGCAGGATCCAGAGAGGGGCATGGGAGAGACCTTGGAAAGTGAAGGCAAGGTGGAGCAGCCGTGGGGAACAGTGGGTCCGCAGGCCTGCTCTCACCTACTTGGACCCACCATCTGGTCAGTTGCCCCTAGTCTCCCCAGGACTGCCCCCCTGCCTGGCCTGCTGGACATCACAGTTATGGGAAAGGTGGGGGGTTGACCTTCAGTGCAAGAGGCTGATGGATAAACCCGCCAAAAAGCCAGACTCTCATTAGCTCTGCCTGTTTGCTCTCAGAACCGAGGCCTTGCGGCTGCTGCCCTCTGCTGGTGAGAAAGAAGCCCCTCGGGAAGAAAAGCAGCCAGCCTTTCAAATGCTTCAGTTCTGGCTTAGAGCACAGTTACACCGTCGAAATACATACACTGGGCGAGGGAACTGGGGGTTTTGAATTTGGTTTGAAGTCACATGAGAGTCATGTGGGTTTTGGGTCGGGGTGTGTGTTTTCTTGGGAAA